CACAAAGCTTTTTTAATATCGCCTCACTTTATAGTAATAATAATAATAATGATAATATTATAGCCTGAAATATATATAATATAGAAAACGCCAACGAACCCCTGGACTTTTTTGGTTATTTCAATACAACCCCGTTCGTGACGGATTGAAAACTTATTATTTCCAGAACGGTAACTAACAATACAAAAAAACACCCCCCCCCCCACCTTTCCTGACAAGTTTCGTTGATTGATGGAGATTTTCCAACAGCCGTCAAGAGTTTATTGAAACCAGACCGGAAAATAAATCTACCCGGAGCTTCGAAAGCGCCGGTTCTCGCCTAACCTGTACTTTGACGGTATAGGTAAGGTGCTCGATCAATTTTCCAATTGTTTACAATGGCTTTTTTGAACCGCACAGACTTAGCGCCGCCACAAAAGAATCATTATTATCCGAACCTCCGTTTTATTGTAATTTATTCAAAACCCATCTCAAACTAACTTGCAACGTCACCTGCATTAATAATATTATAAATTTAAAAACGATTCATGAATTATTTGCAATATAATTTCATTTTCCATCAAACCATCGATGCATTTCATACGTTATTACGATCAGCGAAACGCGGTTCAGCAGCTTAGTTTTACAATCCAAATTCCAGACTGTAATAAGATATACTTTGTTTAAAAAAATATAAATAAGACTAATTAATTCTTAGCGAACATCAGCTACTTATAATCCATATAAAAAATGGTTAGGTTGCATATTGCAATGCATACAATAATATAATATTATTAGATTAGAAAAAAAGGTTTCTACAAGTGTAATTGCGGTCCTGGTTGTGGCCAACACAATAAGAAGAACAATACAATATGAATTTGACACCGATTTCACCGCCTCCGTAAAAGGAAGGATTCAGAAAATATTTAATTCTCATTTGTGCTTAGGAGACTGCCACGCTGGCTGTGTGTATAAAACATAATGGACGCTATTGGTTTATGAGTAACATAATTTGCTTTGGGCTGTGCTCTGTGATAATTAAAACAAAATAAAACAATAGAGATTCGATGGATCGTATTTACTACGACGGATAATTCGATAATTAAAATAATAATGTAAAACAGTTATTACAAATGAAGTGCATTTACATTCAGGTGAAAGCGTAGCGACCGTTTGGATTCGTCCACACTGAAACCTAAGCCAAAACTTCAAAAGTAATTTAATGGTAATAAACCAAAAGTATCATTCAGTCAGTTACAGTCATACAAACCAAGTATTATCATTTCATTAGCCGCAATGGTAATATATATATATTATGCATAATAATCATTTGTTTGTTGTCAAGACACACGAGTATTAAGTACTTTCATTCGAACACTGTTCAGTGTAACACATATAAAAAAAAACAAAACCAACTGTCGAATATTTTGAACAAAATTTAAACAGTTTTGAACATTTTTTAACTATGTTATTTTTATTTGCACGAAATTGAACGTTTCGAAAAATTGTTTTATAAAATATTGGAAATATTTAGAAGTACATTAAGTCAAGTAAGTACGATAATATGGCAAATATTGAACTACATTTTAACACCAGCGCAGGCAATTCCGCGTATTATAAAAAATGAATTATTTTGTTCCATTCTACTTGGCTTAACTTACTCGAGTCTATATTTTCTTGTTGATAATCACTTCGACCGTGTGATAATCATAATATCCTTGTACGCTGATTTCGTGTAACTCATCGTTCCTATTACCCAATATTTATGTATAGGTACTCGGTGTATAATAATAATTATGTATTTTCTATCGTCGGCTATACCTACTCAGTCCGTTAGTCGTTCATCGAGCTCGAGAAATAATAATAATAATCATTATTAATCGCGGAAACGCTATTTTGTGTTATTAATGTTTAATACGAACACGTCTGGTGCAGGCTAACAAGATATTTTACCTATTTTATGTGTTACCTAAATAATATATCATTATAATAATTCATATTAATACCATTAGTTTACTGCAGCGGATCGTGATTTTCACCTAACCAGATGAAACTCAACTAAGTGTCCAAGAACTAAAATAACTAAGGACCTCTAGTCCTGTTGTATTGGAGGAGATCAGAAGGGGGCTTGGGATTCTAAAATATTTAAAACTTAAAATTAGTGCTACATTTATTTTATTTTCAACAAATACCTCTCTAAAAAATTAAGCTAAAAGTATTATGAAAAGCGCTAGTTTTAAGATTTTTGGTAATACGGTTTATTGTTGGGGTTTAAAGAGCGCAACACTTGTATAGAGTGAAAAATAAAAATGGCAAAACAAAGTGTATATTAAAAATAAAAAATTAAATTTAAAAGTTCGATCCGTTACGGATTTTCGCATACTCACCAAAACACAATAACAAATTTGAATACAAATTTAAATTTTACACATACAATAAAACATATTTATTTTTATAAGACTTGCCTATAAAAGAAATAATACTTTATTACTCTATAATGACAAGTCGATTAAGCAATTAAAAATTATACTAATACACGTTATCCGGGTGTCGATAATTGATAATATTATTTCAGACTGACGGCCGATCAAAATACATATTAATGATTAATAATTGTGTTGCAATAATATGCTCAATCGTTTAATAGTAGTTTAATATCAACAGACGGCAAATAACACAACAATTAAACATTGTTTTTTTTTTTTACACAACTAGTTTATTATTGAAATTATCATTTCTAATTAGTTTTAAATATGTGTAGTGAATCCACTTAAATGACCTCTAGTATATTATTATAATTATTTCTGACTACCAATATTCGTACACAGCGCGTAAGACGTGCTAGTGGACATCTATTTCAAGACATAACTAATTGTCTCGAAAATATGCACTTATGACACCTGTCCTGTGCGCAACGCCATCGGTATAATACTTAGTGTACCTATTAAAACGTCTTTTTCGACAATTATCCGCTCCGTTAAAATAACGACAATGGGCTCTGACTTGTAAATAATTACAACACAATCAATGTACCATTATAGCACATAGACACGGCTACCGCATATTTTTTTTCCCGTGCTCCCTACACGAGTTTATAATCTTCAAACAGTTTTATCTATTCACAGACAAATAAAATAATAAGTACACCGTTGTTTGTTGCATCCAACAGCTACACTCTTCTCTCACGTCCGTCATGAGGTCGCTTATCTAATTTATCCGGCTTTTTTTTTTTTTTTTATGTAACCCATTCATATGTCATTAATTCACCCGCGTACGTGTACGGTATAATATGTATGTATGTATTATTTTAACGACTTAACATAATGCTTTTCACGTGTTACACGCGGTCGGTTTACACAACACGGCCGCAGTTGATAAGGTGATTTTCTTAATGTTTAATCCGCGTGTGTGTGTGTGTATAGTAGACAAGAATCGAGCGCAACAATCTCGGTGCTAGGAAATTTGTTTTGAACACATAAACCGATTCGTCTAATGGTTGTAATAACATTAAATAGAGTATAATATTATAGAAGCGCCGTGTGACGTGTGCGGCCGCCGATGATAAATAGCTTCTTAAAATATAATGCCATCCAAAACGGTTCTAATGGTTCCGCCATATTATTTTACACTGCCGGCTAAAATATTAATTATTACCACCATCGTGGGCCGTCAATACACGTGCGATGGTACACATAAATCATAATATGTTGTTATTAAAAGTAAATTTTAAATTTCCCAACACCCACGCGCTAGGCCGGACCCAAGACTTTGGACCCGCTTGATATTTTCAATCAAAAAATAATCGTAACAAACACAATATTGAATGCACTCTTGTGTGTCAAGTTTCCCTAGTTTTGAAATTAGCACCCCGTTCCCTCAAAAAAAAAAAAAAATTTTTTGCATTTCATACCGTAAGTATAAAAGTAAGCCGCTCATTATAGTGAGGTGATGTGATTTTCTGTGAGCAAAACAGATATACACTTGTAAATATGTCTTAAATATAGTGAACACGAGGAAAGAAAATATTTTCTCGACATCTTAGAGAAATATTATTACATTTGACTCATTTGTACACATGACATATTTTTCTTCTCGCTGGCTTTCTTACACTAAGTTATTTTTAAATTGTGGTTGTAAAAGCATCCTCTTCATGAAATGATTGAATGCAAGTTATTGAAAAATTTAAGATTCTTTGAGACTCAAAAATAAAAATTGTCTGGGTCGTATCGTTAATGAAATATCAATTAGATTCCAACATAAAGAAGGCTAGGGTTAGGCACCGAGCCAATGTTTAAATTTTAGCAGTTAATCCAGGGCGATTAATGGGGGCATTGGAGATGGAGACACTTAAGGCGAGTTAGGTCTAAAATAAAATACTTAAGAGTGGAAATGGTGGTGACTGAGAGAAGGAGTTCAGTGGGTTATACGGTAGCATTAACATATCCTATGGAAAAAATAGCTGCGTTTTTAATGATAATATATGAGTGTATACTGCTGCTCCCGGTGTTGTCCATGCTCGGATAAGCTATTGATAAATTATCGTTATATTATTATCATATAAGAGTTATTTTTATCTTCGAACCATTCCGGTTTCGATGGCCTAAATAGACCGATTAGGTAATGAATTATTAATATTATTATTATTTCTAATGTATTCATTTTCGGTTGTCACGTCGCGCCGCACTTGATTTGAATAATGTGGCTGTAAATATATACTTTATGCTTGTAAAAATCTGCCCGTATACGCGTTCGAACCGCTTTGAAAAACGACACTGGGTGAACACGGCGGTTTTTAACGAACCAGGCAAAACGAGAAGATTTATTATTGTATTTAATTTGAATATTTTTAAATCGCATCTTCCGGATTCGACGGTTGTTTTTTTGGCAGCAGCGTCTAACTGCAGCGCCTCGTCGATTGCATCTAATCGACCTAATGAGTGAAATCTTATAATAATAATAATACACTGAAAGCGGTTCCATGCTTTGTCGACGATAATTAATTTTCAAAATATGTGTTTTAGGGTTTCCAAAAGCGGCGAACACGTCGACGATCTCATGTTGAACTGCGGCAACGAATTATACTCAGAACCGATCAACGCCTATGTACTGCCGGACACCCACATTGACAAATTGTGTGCAGCCAGGTAAATTAAACATTTTTTGTTTAGTGACGGCAATTAAGTACCTTAACGAACCGCCTTGTTAAAAAAAAACCTTCTTTTACATAGCATTATTGTTATGTACAAATATTACTATAGTCCATACTGCTGTCCTGATGGGATACAAGTGTGTCCGTCACTTGCGGTGTTAGTGTGTACATGCAGCGTGGGCATATAAGCTGAAGTCAAACAATAACTGATTTACTATGGTGTACAATGTAAAGAAAATATGCAAAAAAAAAAAAATAATAAAAGTACAGCGCAATAGACTATTTGTGATCACAAAAGATATGCGTTAAATTAACATTATCAGATTAATCTAATTTGAAATTCATTACGAACCGTATCTAACGATTTTTTGTGTTCATGTTGTACGCGTAAAAAAAACTATTGACTATACTTAGACAATTTTTATTAGATCAAGGTTGACATTTATTTCCGGACTTAATTCGCAGAGCACAAAGGCTAATGGGAAAAACAGTTCATAAGGCAACAAATGTCTCCAATAAGGGGCAAGTTAAAAATGATAAAATCAGCAAAATGGTTTGATAAAAAAAAATCTATAGGACACAACTTGCATGCTCTAATGGTGTGTTTAGTTGAATATTCGCCACCCCTGAAAAAGTTAAGAGCCGCACTCCACGCCAGCAATCCGAACGAAACATTAGCCAGCAAAGTGGTTTTGTTTAACCGAGTACAAGATATAAGTAGTCAGGTTTGTTCTGTAATTACTTTTGTATTTAAATCAATCCTAATTTAAATAAATCAGAAGTACGATTCGATTGAGATTTAAGAGGATTACATGAGTAACATTTTTTTTAAATTGTGCTTTAACTACTTTTTGTAGCACATTTAGATGTCATAACATCAGTATCAAGTTCTCTGTATTTATTTAAAGTTATCTTACAATTGAGATAGTTGCTAACAATACGTTTGCAATTTGCGCGTTCACTAAATAAACAAAAATAGGAAAATATATTCAATAACGCAAAGATTGCATTACACAATACTCGGGAAATGTATTTCTTTAGTTACATTGCGATGAATAGTGTTTTGAAAATTACAATCCACTGTTATGACGGATTTTTTTTATCCATTGTAGCATGTCATGTGTGTATAGTCAATACAAGTATAATATGGTAAGTGAAACAAAAACATTTATTTTGGCCCGGGCAAACGTGTATAGCATAACAAATATATCATGTTATTTCTCAATCAAAACAGTATTGTTAGCCATTTCTGGGTTCGTCTGGTGTGTGTACGAAAACAATATTATTATTTTAAACTAAATTTAGGTGGATTCAAAATTGAAAAATAACGGGGTTCGGTCTATTTTGAAAACAAAACACACAGTCCTCGCCTCGGTCGTAAAGAGGTCAATACGCGTCTGGACTGCAACTAATAAATGTGCACAATAGTCTTTTTATGTAATTTATATTTTTTAATATAGGTATTATTACTGACACGTGGGCAGATCCCGAAACAAACTTTAATTAACATCTGTGATGGATTGCAACACACATCTTTTGTTGGCCACTTCAAAGAATTTTGGTGTTATTAGTTTGACATCAAAAGTCATTTTTTATGAGAAAAGATTAAGCCAAAAATTATTTGACTGAACCGCGTTTCATTCTGAAAAAATACACCTTGAGATGTTAATAGAATAGTTTTTACCTTCAAAATTTCGAAACAGGCAAATCACGATGAGTGTAAAAAGTAAATTTTAATATTTTAAATGAATTATGTCATGGTAGAAATTTGAATTTTCTCCTATCGAAATATGTTTCAAAATCTATATTAAAAAAATAATGGTCAAAAGTAATTAAAAAATATCTCAACAAATTGTTCGATAAATTAATTTCAATTATTATATTTATTTGATTTTTATTATTTATAAAAGGTTTTGGGTTTTTTTTTTAATCCTGCCCTGAAAACTTGGTTGTTTTGAATTCATCGAGATTTACCTCTTGAGTAAGTACAAAATGGGTTTTCTAAGGTATAGTGCAAACGCACATTTATACATTTTATGCAAATTAAATTTGTTTTCAAAACTGCCATGTTCAGCCGCGGTAAAACTTAAAACCGTGTAAGTATAAATATATCGTTTGAAGAGATTTTGCCAGTTCGAATTTCACGTTTTACTATTCGCATTGGCTGCCAAAATATACGGATGTTTAATTAATAACTCCCAGAGCATATTATTGTTCGAAAACTTTGCAGTTATTAGCTTTGAACGAGTAATCTTGCGCTCTTTGGAGTTTGGTGTACCGGCTTTATGATCTTTACAATATTATATGGCGGCAGTTCCTTGGGGATAAAATATAATCCTTCTCAGGAGGTATACGGTAAATAAATAATTTAAAAAAAAATTAGAAAGTCATCCGTCGTCTACCTCTTGTCGGTTAAATTTAAAAATATTATATACTATTAGTTTTTTATTTTTCGAATCGTCTACCCTAGACAGCAGCGTCACATCGTCTGGACGGAATCCATTTACGATGTACGTGCGTTGTCATTGTGCCTTGTCAATAGGACATTAAACGTTTACGGTAATGGTGTCTAAGTCCACACACACACACACTCAGTCGGTCACTCGGTTAAATATAATAATATATACAAATATATAGGGTGACGATCCCTCTTGTGATGTGTAATGTGTTCCCAGTGGAGTCTGTGTGTGTGACTCATGCGGCCTTTCATCGTGCTGACGACGTCATGCGGTGTGAGATATCCGTCATCGGATGCAAACCCCTTCGGACGGGTTGACCGATGATATTACATGATATTATTAAAGACCCGGCGGTAGGTAAAAGTAGTAAAAAAATACACACGGTCATTTGTCATTACAGCTGAGGTAGGTAGGTACATCAAAGCCAAAAGAAAAGAGAAAATCTGTATGTGAACAGCGAACAGGTACAATCATTTTGTCTATTTGTTTTGTATTTCATCATTAAGGCAAACGGAGTCCAACTTACTTGTTTCTAGGCGGGTTAAGGTTAGGGCCAGGAGTGGATAGGTATGGTTTTATTTTGTCAAAGGGAAATATGTTTTAAAAGGGCCGCGCAAAATTGGATAGCAAAATTGTTTTATAACACTAATATAGTTTTGTTAGCATTCCACTTTTATCGACCGCGCTAATTATTTCATCTGAATCCTACACCGCTTACCCTTTCTCAACACTTAAAACGTTAAAACAATCGCAATTAGATTTGTGATAAGGTACTCAAGGTAAGGTTTGGGGGGTGCAAGTGGTGCAAGGTGATAACTGGTTTTTTTTAATCTAATAAAATACTGAACTTTAGAAATTACAGCTTTCGTTTTCATGAATAGTATTGTTTTCAAGTTATAATATTAAATGTAATTTCAAGAATGATAACTGGGAACCACTAAGTATTGTTATGGAGTTGTCTTACTCGAATGTCTGAAACAAAAACCATTTCGCTACATTCGAGGACCGTCTGTCAGTATTTTGAATAATAAATGATGAACCATTATAATATGTATTTGCGCACTCAGATCTAAGGTACAGATATTATATAAATTATAAACGAGATCAATTAACTATAACTGATTATCATCCTCAAGTGTCAACGCCGCGCCGTCTAATTAGATAATTTAAATTGGTTTTTGAATATTTCAATGGAACTTTTACAGTATTAATATTATGTTTTAATATAAATTATTATGATGTTTTATTAGTGCATTCAATTTCGAATGTGATTGTTCAAAACTTAACATTCCCAAACAATATTATTTCTTTGAATTTTCCGTTTTTTTTTTAACGTCTTATGAGGCTTTAATAATTCCCACCGGTAGTGAGCTAAGGATGAGTTAAAGCGATGCGCCTTAAGTATTACACAGAAATCCATTAAATTGTAAACCACACACACGTCTGCGACTTGGATTTGATGTGGTTACACTTTATGCGACTATCAATCATGTCTTTTGAAGAAAGAAAAAAACGTGTTATTTTTTTGCCATCTTCTTGACGTTCCCACGAAACGGACATAAAATTATTATTATCGTTTGGGGTTGAGAGATAATAATATTATAATGTGTGCCGAACAAACAAAATAACATGCTCGGCTCATTGTGGGCGTTTTGCTTGCGAATACAATAATAATATAATTCCTAAACTCTTCTTTACAAATTTAATAAGAAAAACAACTATTCGATTTCAGCTTTAGGTTACAAGGACACATATTGTGTCTCGTGAGCACACACGTTTTATAACAGAATCGATGTATGAGAATGGCGAGTAAACACAAGTCTGTTTTTTTAGAGCTTTTGTATATTTTTATTTGTATGCAAATAAATAACCGAAGACTCTTTAAATAATCTACAAACCGAGTAAATACAGTAGGAAAAATATCGAATTATTTGTGTATAACAATTTTTCTGGTAAAATAGTGTTTTAAACCACTTAAGGAGCCAAAAAAAAAAACTCTTAAAAACGGAGGTGGCTGTTAGAGTTTTGTTTAGTTTGAATAAAAAAAATGAATATCGGTATTATCAACTCACAACAGAGGAAAGCTTTAAATTATGTGTGATTTTGTGTGTGTTTCAATGCTGCTGTGGCCAAGCCAAAGACCCTCTGTGTATTTGTATTTCTATATCTATAAGATTTACTGCACGAGCCGTCTTTTATTATTATTTATTTTACAGTAACGTGCGCGACGGTAAACGTTATACCGAAGGGCGAAGAGGCCAAAGTAATTTAGTTTACCGTCTATAGAAACGATTTTATGTTAAAAACATAAATTGAGTTTTAATGAAAGTATAGTTTTTTTTTTAAATAATAAAAAGGTAAACGTATGGCAAAATTACCTATTCAACATTTTACAAAGTTTGTTGAAAAGTTGTTTTTTTCTCTGATTATAAAAACCATTAGTAGCCATAACACAGTGTTTTTTCTGCATCAAACAAGTATAATCGGATAAAAATTATAAAAACAAGACGTACATCTAACACCAACGATTTTCCTGTATATTTTTATTTTGAATTTTAAATGCAACGTGTCGACAACAAGGTTTATTTAATCAGCGCTATTAACTGATACAAATATACCATAATATAAATGTGTATATGAGTTACATACACACCAATGTACCATAATAATATAGTGAAGGAGCATTGGCCATTGCAGACTTTTTAGCTTGACACACATCATCGATGGTAATTGAACCGCTCGGAGTGATTCGCTCTAAACAAAATAACAATAATCATATTGTTGCTATTATATAGGTCAAAGCCTTTAGGTACTGTGGTCGGCCGTTCGGTTTCTATTGTACTATTATTGTACAGAAGAGCTTGTTGGTTATAAAAACTGGGACAATATTTGATAAAAAAAAAAACTAGTCTAAATCGATTTCAATGAGGTCATTTTTTTGTTCAGGTTAATTTTATGGTTTGAGTGAAATTTTTCCCCTTCATACTTATTAATATCAGTTATTACTGTTTTGTGATCATTCCAGATAAACAAAAGAAAACAATCATATAAAGACCTAGAACTATGTAAAGCTTAGATAAAGTTATTTTCCACCAATCTAACCTACTGAAAAAGTTTTTAAAAAAAACAGACCGTTTCCAATCTCAACAAAATTGTAAGTTTCTACTTAGGTATAAGTTGTACAAACCGCAAGCGTCGTCGTTGGGCAAACCGGTTTGGTTAATGACGTTTCATCGACATTAGTCAATAATAATAATAGTAAGGCTAAAGTGAACCTCGTGCGTCGTTCGAAATGATGAGTTTATTAATTATTATTTTTTTGTAATATTTACACTATTACCTAATACAGGTTATTTTGATGACAAGTCACAGCTAACCTTCTGTTTTTCTGTGTCTCGAGTTATTCAAATCGACACAATACACACCTTTTACCTATACTTGATGGAATGATAATTTCGACGCTTGACCAGTCAAAGTCTACAAGTTTATATAATATGGTAACGTAATAGTTTATTATAGATGTATTTTCTATCACAATCAACCCGTTCTGTGACTAGAGTAAATGTCTACTGAGAAGTTTTTATTTTATTCCGTTTGGGCAATAAAAAAAATACCATTTATTATGAATCGCCCACGGTACAAAAAAATATGATATTCCGTTTCGAATCTCCATCGCCGACGACTTCGGTGCAGTGGAAATCATAAATTATACCACTGTCAAAACACAACGTTATGATAATAACATGTTCGACGGTATAACTGCTTCCGAATTTAAGCGACCTCCCAAATGGGTTTTTTTCCCCTTACAAGGAGGATAAAAACCTATATTAATGTCAAAATCGCTTCGGTCATGATAATAATTATAAAACACATTAACACACATTGTTATTGCCAATGCTTAGCTCGTGTCCTTTAAGGCCACCGCCAAAAGGGTATGCCCGGCGACGGCGCACACACAGTCCAAGGTCATTGCCGCATAAACGACCCCTGCAATACGGTTAACGGTTATACTAATCCCCGGTCATGGCGCACACCCTCGGCCGCCAAAAACAGCTGCGACCGCCAAAAACACAACACTTTTACTTATGTTATTACGGTTCCTCGTCGGCGATCGATAACTTCTGGACTCACATTGTCGTTTCCCTAGTTTACTAAAGTATCGAGTAAAACCGACGTCATCATTATACAGGGTGATCCGTTTGACGTAAGACACTCAATTGTGTTTTCCCTGTTAACTTTTGGGTACATATTTTACTTACAATATGGTATTTCGAATAGGACTAGTGATAAGGAGAAATGCGTTACTCTGGGCCGGCTTTGTCACGTTTATAAAAATATTATTACTGTCGTCGTCAAACGCACAAAAACACATTAAAATCACGGGGTACGACCGTGGTGGGCTCATGACCAACGTATAGTACTCCTACACGGTTGTAACAACAACAATAATAATAATAATTACTTTTTATACATCTTTCCTTGTACGTAATCTTCGAGTGCAACGATAATAAAAGTCGAAGCCCACGCGGTGCCATGCGGCTAACAATATTATGACTATTAGCGTCATTTCTCGAGTGAACGAAAACACTGCGGTCGATTGTAATTAGATTGGAATTGTTTTGGTTTTTCCACTCAAATAAACGCGAGCCAGAGCAGGTTAAAAAATGTGTGATGTATTTTATAATATTAACTTGCGGTTTTGTTGTCAAAACTCACCAAGAAATAGTCTACTCTTGCGCGGGCTTTGCTCTGGCAGGACTTGAAAAAAATCTAAAAATCGAGTGAACATTATTTAATGCACTTCCATCTCATACGATCGGTATGGTGTCGTCTTCCGACAATGCAAAATGTAATGGAAATATAATACATACTTGAACACAATAAATTTAACTTGATGTTTATGTATTGCTTGGCGTGCAATTCTTGCAGCAGATTTAATGGCTTTCGGGATTTATTACAATGTTCTTTGAAGTTTAAAATGTTAAGTGTAAGAGAAAATATGAAAAAAAAACCTCACAGACCATAATAAAAATTACATTTTCTGCTTGTTGTATAATATAACGTACATAACAACTATTGTACTCCCTTAAGGATAAATTCTAGAAACTCTTTTCTTCTCACCGCAATGGTTTTAATTACTTCAAAGAACCAAATTATGCATCTACACAATATAACCCCTGTCAATAATATGTTTAGCGCAATTTCGTAACAATATTTAATTATTAAACCATCTAAGTTTTTATAAAATAACTGCGCTCAACTTTATAAACGAAAAATTGTTTGTGTTATAAAAAAACAAACACCAAAAATGTGTTCAATAAAAAAAATTTCAAAATTGCGATTTTTTTAGGAGAAAGTGAGTGTCTTACCCTTAATGGATCACCCTATATGCTTCCCCATCTAGATTATGTTAGTTTAGATTTCGGAATCGCATGCAACCTACTTCGTTGAACTTAACAAATTGCGCAATCATTTCAGTATAGTTATTTATTACAATACACAATATTCCTTTGGCGTTTAACTAGAAATGTCAGCTGCACACACAAAGCACAATGCGCTCATTGGAAATTATGAATTGTCTACCCACGCTAATGGAACTAACAAATAATTCAGTCGGTGGACTTGAGTGTGCGCGTTATCGATCGTATAAGTAGACTTTTGAACGATAAAGGCCATAAAAGCCACGTTAATAATTAATATAAGTTGTCAGGTGTCACGAGGTACGTCGCGTTAGGTCTTTTCACAAAGACAATAGTCTAATGGTAATAATATAGATATTATTACTATTTTAAAGAAAACCTATCCATATCAACTGCCCAAAGTCAGAAAACAATCCTGTATTTCACTTAGAGAAAAAAGCTGATTTGATTCCCTATCTAATTTAAACTATATTAAATATTTATCTAAACTACGGCTTATTGCGCGTTTTACTCTTATTTTAGTTATTATTATTATTATCACTATTTTCTATTGTGTTTTTTTACAATGTACTTTTGTGATTTAAATATTGTACTCTTTTGGATAAACTTTGATTTTGGATTTGTTTGTTTGTTTGGCAGACAATTGTATCCGGTGCACGACGATGGTTCGCACTATTCGGTGACCTACGACACTCTAAAACCGATTTCGGTGTCTTCGGATTCGAAAATTTCCATCTACAACGGAAATGTTTGCAGCAAACCGGAATCAGTGTCGCCACCTATTGGAGCCGGAAGTCGTTCGGGCAACAAAGCTGCCACCCTTGGCGGCGGTGGTGGCGCGACTACCGCCCCTAACATATGCATCGAGGGCGGTCGGATCGAATTCGTCAAGTCTCCGGTAGATTGCGGCGAAGAGAAACAGGACTATCTGAAGGTGAGTAAACGCTGTGGATAGAGTGCGCCAAATGGACCGTCCTGTCGGTTTGCCAAAAGGTCGTTTTGCACGTTTAGTTGTATACCGCCTTACCTTGTGAACGAAGAAATCAAAAATCTAGATTTTAGTTATATTTCGAAGGAGGGGCCGTCTCGTCGAAGATTATCAATGGTGTAAACATGTTTACACGAAACAGATCTTTCAAAGTGACAGTTTTAGAGATAAAACACTTTTAATAAGAAAAATAGGTTTTCGAGGGAACCTCGTAATAAGCGTTTTTCAAAATACCAATCAGAAAATTCAATTTATTGTACTAATAATGTTACACATGGCGGTTTAACCTTTGAATTAAGATTTTATAAAAAATTCTCCTTTACCAAACTCCGTAGTATATAGATAAGAGGAGGGGGGGTATTACGTCCTCTTGATATTTTATAATCGACCGCGAAAATCGATACTGTTGTACTGGCAAGGTCGGCGATGAAAAAACAAATGTAAGATTTCAAACGATTTACTCGTTCGTCTTGTACGCTGGCCTTCAATTTCTCCTTATTTTTTTTCTTTTAAGGGCCACATCCTAAATTACGATTCAGTGATTCAAGTATTGACCAAGGTGGACACGCTTGTTTTTTTATTTCTTTTTGTTTGTGTTTTTAATATTACAGTCTGTATCGAATTGAAATTTCAAGTTTTGTAAAATAATCAATCATCGATATTGGCCTATATCTGTCCGATTTACTTCTTAGAACAATGAAGCTACAACTGCTGCTTTAAATTTACCAGGGAATGTATAGTTTTAATGCTCGGATTGTATTATATTTTTACTAGTGGATCTAATATGATTGCTTTTAATAACTTTATAAGTAAAATGTATTAGTTGTGGCTGTTTATTTATTTGTTTAACGAGAAGTACAAATCCTAAAATTGAAATGGTCCAACTGTAAGTGTTCGCCAGGGAATTAAATTTAATTTGGTAAAAAATTCAATTAATATGCATAATTTCTGCCATTTCGCGCTCAAGTATACATCGGCGGCGGTGTCCTCCTTTTTGACTTTCATGAGTTTGTGTTGCCTTCGCGTTATACTTAAGCCGCGCTCCGACAAAACAAAATATGCGGATTTAAGCCTCTCGTCGTGAAATTATTTTAAGCCGGCTGTATACGGAAATCTTGTGCGCGTAGTGAAAGTTTTCAATTTGGAACATTATACCGTATATAATTCTCGCCCTTCTGGTGTAGTTAGTGTATTTTATCTCGACGCGAGATGCAATATTCTAGCAGAGGTGCTTTTCAAAAACCTTCCCTCCCGACGTGGCGCATAGCAGCTTATAGCATCATCTGATTTCACAATCAGCCGACAACCAACTTTCAGGCCGAACTACACGGTTTTCGATTCCCACCGTGTGATGTATTCGTCAAAAAGGTCTTCTGCGGTGTATTACACTCACAACGGTAATGGATTATTATACAGTGCGAACTCCAGTGGTTTTCCGTCAAACTTTCAGCCGTTATAATATCCTCTCGCCGAAAACTTCCACGGCTATGGTATAATAATCAAGTCCCGGGGGTTATTTCTGCCGCATCGGTTTCTGTACCGCGTATCCATTTACAATGCTTGCTATAATATGCGGCAAACGCATGTTCGGACGGCGCAACAGATAGGCAATTCTAACGCGGTAACGATGAGAAGACGTTAGCAGAACACATACACAACCTATTCGGTCGGAGCCCACCAGACTATGAAGATTATTTTGTAAAGAATAAAAATGGGGAAATCAGAGAATTTCAAAAGAAAACAAATCTAGTAGGCGCACAAAAGAGGGGGTTTTCCTTATTAAAAACAAGTTTTAAAACAGACTTTTGAGAAAATTGTATATGATATATCCGCTCAATCGACCTTTGGTCTAATTTTCAAACCTAATCCCTAAAATTCTACTGAAAAATGTTAAAAAGAAAAAAGTTTCCACCCGTTCTAAGTGAAAAGGCTATAACATTTTTTATCGTTAGTACTATGTACCTAAAGCATATCTCAAACAAATTTGGCACTAATTTGACTATTTAGTTTTTTTTAAGTATTAGAGCACCGTAATTTTAAGTTGAAAATATGTACATTCATTCTCGAATTTGAATGGAAAAGGGTGAACTTTTTGAAGGTTCGATTTCTGATCTATAGACTGGCCGCATGAAGAAATCGGTTCAACGGTTTAAAAGGATATCGTGAGCTCAGACACACAAAAATAAAAAAAACACATCATTGTAAAAACAAAATCTTTTCAGTTCCGAATCGAAGCTAGAACAATGAAATTACCGTAATTGGTCAATTATAGGTCTTATAAAATAAAATTGATTCAAGGTGATCGACTGGAAGATAATAAATCGTTGGGAAAGCCGGACACGTGAGAATATTACCAACTGCCGTCACAGTGCGGTACGCATTATGATCAAAAGTGATTTGCCCAGTTGAGGACGGTGACATTTTTTCTTTTAAACGATTACGCCGAAGAACATTAATCTCCTTAGGCTAATCATTCCGGTCTGTGTAAATGACATTATAATACTAGGTATAATGGCCAATACGTGGTGTCTCACAAAAGCGTTGCGCCATCTACTTTCAAACGGCCCGAAGGCGTAATCACGTTGAGATTAAGTTATTGTTTAAAATGCAAACGCGCGCGCGATGAACTTGTCCGGGATTGTTTTCTTATCCGGGCAAATCAATAGCGTTTTTTATTTTTTTTTATTGAGGTCGATTCGTTTTCAGAAGACTTTCCATCGGACCGTCGACATTCAATAATAATAATTAACAAAGTAAATGCTACTCGCGGAAAAAAGTGGCGGTCATCTTCTTTGGGTTTTGCCGTCCAAAAATAGACTTTGCAACGAGTCACGGTAAATCTATATCCGCGGGGCAATAATCTGACTTGCAAGAATTTCAGCATTTTATACTACCCTTTTTGCAAACAGTTATTGTATTGTCCATGGTATTTATTGTTTTCTCTATGATTGATCAACAATATAACAGAGTTATCATCATGTTATCATCGCCTAATCTAACATTGATCATGGAAAAGTAACCTAACATCACTTTACTTTCCATGAAATCTGTACTCAAAACTTTTATTCGTTTTGCATTGTTAACGGCTTTAATATTTTTTCTACTCTGTCGATTAGTAGTATTTCATACATTTTCTCGGATACTCTCTACTCGGAAAATGCCGTTAGCTCAAGTTTAATAACATTATACTAATTGCGACGGCTTTATCTGTATCATCGTTTTATTGGACGAGGGAGAGTCGTTGGCGATAACACATAGCATAGTATAGGCTCCGTCGGTCATCAATGATCTATATATGCTCTAGGGGTCGTAAATACCGTTCAAAGTGTGTATTTAGTTGCTATGTATACGGTCATTAATTTATCGTTTGACGGTGCAAGCAATAAAAATACCACTTTACGCCTTTGGATTGATTATTATTATTAAAGTCGAGTAGTGTCGCGCATTAGCCGATTATATTGTTTTCTCTATACTCGGCACAAGTCACACAACTTACAACCGGCAAGTACAGCTAACGGCTGCAGCTTTTTTTTTCTATCAAAACTCAAAATATAAATTTCGGATTCGTTGGACCTTGAAAATCGCATGACATCCCCCATCCTAAGGTCTAGCCCGGTAATGTTATTCAATATAGTAGTCGTTTATAATATGTATATGTTATTCCGTTAAGATTTATAGTTTTGTCTATCCCTCAAGCGATAAAACTGATCATATATGTGCTATATTATTATAATATATATATATATATATATATACATATATTGAATAAACCCCTCTTTCTCTTTCCCGGTTGTGGCGTTTTGCAGTTTTAACGTTACGCCGACCGTTTTATGGCATTTCCTGGCAGTGCAGAGTGTGGTCACACGTGTATGTACGTGTATAAGACAGATATATTATTATTTAATTGTTGATTGCTCGATATTTTTAATAAACTATAATTATTTATTGTGCAAATGTATGTGAAAATAAAGTACCCCGAATTAGCTTAAAAATGTTATCTCAGGCGATAAGATCGATGTCCTATCTATTCTTTTATTGTCTATGTTCATCGTCGAGATAAAGAATACACAGTTCATAAGTTGAGAAGGGTTTTGGTTTGTTTAAATTTTCAGCAATCGCATTGCTTCAATATCTCTGGTTTTATCTGATCGATGGTAGGGCGGCTTGGAAACCTATAAAAAATTCGTTTTGATTTTCGTAAGCTCATAGTCTCGACCGACTTGTCGAAAGTGGAAAAATCTATACCGGGATTGATTATGCTGTGGGAGTAGTGACGGACGTCCGGGCTCGGTTTGGATTGATTCAAAGTAAAACAGATTGGTTTATCGACGGTAAATAATAATAATAAGAAGAATACACAAAACTCAGACCGCGGCGTTGGAAAACTAATCTAAAGCGATGAACAAATTAATATTCCCAAACGCCCAACAGATGGAGAACAATACGGGTTTTCTCCTCTGCTCGATCCTATTCGTTATCCGATTAAACAGTACACAATATAAACGATATCCTTTGTTCTCCGGCCGTGTAACGATTTCAATCAGTTTTTCTTGTAAGGCGACCGGAACCGGAGCTGTGTAAACCAGTGAACCCTCCACCCGCAGTGAAGTACTTAAAAAAATAAAACATCTGTAAGCAGCAGTAGAGGCATCTCGAGATAGCAAACTTTATTTATTTATCTTCCACGCTCGGTTAATGTTGTCGTCGGATCACGTTTTCTTTGCTCTCTAAGAACGTCGTTCAAATTTCAGTGGATCCACTTGGCCACATAAAATAATCAGATGATATCCAACTGCCTCAGCTCTTTGCTTCTACTTGAACGACTTTAAACAAAACAACAGTGTAATCGTTCTACACTATCTGTACTGATATCTTTTTTAAAAACGAATTGAAGCGTTTATTGCTTATTGTGATCAATAATAACCAATTAAGACACTTGTCAAGAA